TGGCTGGCTCAGGTAAGACTGAATATCAAAAATAACCAGTGCAACAAGGTTTCCTCAAGTGATGGAGTGCACAACTAGCAAGCGTGAGACCCTGAGTTCAAAATGCAGTACCATGCGAAAAAAGATCATGTGACTTTCTCTCACGGCCTTGCAGGTGTGCGTGGGTACGTGCCCCATTCCCAGACAGGAAAGCTGAGCTCGGAGCTGGTGTCAGCAGCCTGTCTAAGGTCACAGGGTGAGGGGAGCAGTGGGGCAGCCAGGCCAGGACTGGCGTTGACCTTTCCCTAGTGTGAGCCACTTCTGCCCCAGTATTTCCCAGTTGGTGCTGCGTGGTTTAATGAGGGTCAGCAGTCCTGACCCTCATTGACTTCTTATCATTTGAAAACCTGAAGACCGTAAGTTATTCAAAGCTCTTTTCCAACCTGAACACTTATGACTTCCAGGTCAACTGCATCGCCCCACGGGGAGCTGGAGGTGAATGGTTATCAGGGAAGAGCGTTTTTAAGTCAAAGGCAGCATTGGGAATGGGGAACTCACCACTAAATAAACATAGCAGCTGCCGAGAGAAATTTACCTTAAATGCAGATTGAAGCCTAAGTAGAAATGCTTGATTAAAACCAGGCAGGCATTGCTCTGAAAGCCTAGTTGTGAGCAGAGGCTCTGAGTTCAAGGTCACTGAGGGGCCCTGAACTATGGAAATTCTGAGGTCCACACTGTGCAGGTGTGTAAAGAGCAAATCCCAGGCAGGGGAGAGAGCAGCCTGGCAGGAGTGCGGCATGGGAGACACAGGCTCAGAAGGGCCTGGCTGAGCCCATGGCCAGAGAGGGGGCCATGCAGAGCAGGCAAAGCCCCAGGGTTTTAGAGGAAGCCTCTGAAGACGGGGAAGGAAGGCGGTCATGGCCAAGGGTTTACTCTGACCCCAGAAGGATCAAAGCTGAAAAAGTGCCCTTTTCTGTTACAGGGAAACATGAAAGCAAGTTCCATGGAAAATTACACAACCAAGAAAAGTAGTGATGCAACTCAAAGCCCAGAGCAGCGCATTTTTTGAGTTACTGAAATACAAGCCTGAAGCCATGGTCTGCCTGCCCTATGGAGCCTATGGTCTGCCCTCCCTGAGATACAGAAGTGACGGAGGTGTTCCAGCAAGAGTCAGGAAGAGTGACTACACAGCTGCCTGGATGTTCTTTGCCGGTGAATCCAGCCAGGAGTCACCAGTGAGCCAGTTCTGGCTCAAGCTGCTCTCATTTAAGATGGAGAAATAGAACAACATCCCAGCCAAGTAGGGCAGAGGGGTGGCAGAGGCAGAGTGGACCAGGCATGCAACTGGAAGGAAAACTGAACCTCCAAGAAGGGTCCCAGGTGAGCAACTGGGCCTAGACTCTGAGTGGAGCCTGAGGCCCTTGGCTGGTAGTGGGTCTCACAGGTGTCTATGAGCCTGGAAGAGCCACATTCCCTGTGCATCTGCAAGGGAAACAGACTCCAGAATGACTCAGTTTGCTGCCCAGGCCCGACCGATGAGCTGTGATTTGCAATCAGAAATCAGGGCCCAGTGCTTCCAGCACACTGCATTCCTCATTTGCATATGGATCTGAGTAAGAACCTGGGCAGGAACTTTCTAGATGGTAGCCAGCTCCTCTTTTATTCTTCAGAGCGTGTTTTCCTTTTGTTCCAAAGGCCAACCTCCCCAGTTGGCACTGTTTACTCTTTTGAAAATAAACTTCCTCTGTCTTTCCTTGAATTCTTTCCTAATAGAGTTTTGGTGACAGAAGTAAGGTGATAGGGAGGAGTAGAGACTGGGGTACAGTGGGGTTTAGAGAGCCTGTGGTGCCACTCTGGAGGTGTTAAGCCTGGTATTCCCACCATCAATGTCATAGACACTGAAACTTCTTGCTCTTTTCACTGTAAGACGCCTATGATTTGGAACATAGTTTGCCTCTTTCAGAGAATTTGGGGAGAAAGGTGGACACAGACCTGTTTTGGGGACTCTGAAGTAAGTCTCACCATTTTATCTCCTGCATCACCAAGAGGATGGTCTGAGTCTCCTCAGCCAGAAGCAGGACAGACCTGACTCCTCTGACTCTTCCTATGTGTCTCATCCTCTTTGTTTGGGCTCAGCTCAGGGATAGAACAGGAGAGGGACTGGAAATAGAGATAACACAATGGCCTCCCATTGGCCCAGGGCCTCCAGATTGCTCCTGTATTGAACACAGTCAGATAGACATCAATGCACTTATCAAAAAGTGAGATGCGTGTGGTCACAGGCTAGGCCTGGCAGGGAGGCATGCCACACACATATGGTATCCTAAAGTTCTTTGACCTTCATCAGCTGCCCTGAAGTTCCCAAAAAGAAAGACTGTGACTGAGGCTGGGGCTGGCCAGAGAATGACCAACACAGGGCCATTCAGGGTGAGTCTCCTCTTCTTGGACACTAGAACCCTGGCCTGTAGACCGTATGCAGTTTGTGGGCAAGAATGTGTGCTGGGAGGTGTTTGAAGACTCAGACCACAGCTTTGGCTCCTTTCTTTACCTGTGTCCAGGTAACAGGTGAGGTCAGAGATCCAAGTCACTTAGGAGAGGAGGTAGTGAGTTAAGAGTGATTTTGTCCTGAAAATGAGACCCAAATGTCCAGTTTGACCTAATTCTCCAGAGTTTGCAGCCCAAAGAATGTGCTGTTTCCAGAATCCATTGTCTGAGTTTAGAGGAAGAACACATCAGAGTTCCCGATTCTGTGCATTTTAAAGACAATTTGAACAGAATGCATGTTAAAATTTTATCAAAGAAATCATCCTTTTAGAGGCAAATTTCATTGGTGATACCAACTGTATATTTGTATGCCTTTAATTCATAAAGGCTCCCGAAGCATGTAGTTCTTGTTAATTTTTGAAATTTAGCCATGGTTCTTATTTTATGCTAAACTAGTCTAGTCGTACATCCAGAAATAGTTTTATTCTAACAAAGATATACTGCTGGTTGTCGAGGCGGTTCTGGCTGGGAATATCCTCGAACAAGACTGAGGGGTTGACCTCTTGGTGTTTCTCCAGGAACTGCCAAGTGGGTGTCCTGAGGGCTGAGCTGAGGTGACAGGCAGGGAAGGCAGCAGGGAGAGACATCCCCCAGGTTGACGGCACATGGCTGGCAATTGGAGAAAGACAGCAGGGTCTCCTTCCTGGGCTGCGAGGCTCTGAATGGGGGATTGCTGTGAGATGTATTTAAGGATATGAAACTCAGAAGAGGACCCACTTCCAAATACGCCAGGCATAGCTTTACAATTACGTTGGTTATTTTAGCTCATGAAACACAGAGTAGACCTCTTCCCCAAAGATGTGTCCAGTACCATTTCCCACGGGGCAGGGGGCAGGCTTCTGCTTGGGGTTCGCTGCCTGGCTCATGAATGCATCTGCATTCACCGTGCTGCTGCTTTTCAATCAAAGGGGACCCTGTCCTGCCTGGGCAAGGACGTGAGCATCATAGAACACACCTGGACATCCCAGCTCATGGGGCCCTCTACCTCCAACTGGCAGTGGACAAGATTGACTGTGGTCTTGGGTATTTCCACTTTCACTTATTTCCTGAAATTTACAGAACTTCAGGAAATGGTGGGAGTGCAGCAAATCTCTGACTCCTGGGTCACCCACGATCCTTAGCAGTCCACACCTGGTGAGAGAATGGCCCCGGGCCCTCCAGAAAGAAGCCTTGTGACATTACACCATCCGTACAGGTGGCCTTACAAGCTCTGAGCCATTAAGATGCTGTGTTGCTGCAGCGTGGAAGCATTAGCTTGGCAAACACAATCATCCATCAAGAGAGCGCACTATTGATGCATACCCAGCGTCCTCAGGCCCCAGCATGACAAATGCTTCACAATCACCCACATATGACGCTTCCGTTTGGACATTGATGGCGCATTTTGAGCCACACACCGCTTGCCATTCGTGTTTGAGTTAGTGCTATTCTTTTTTTTTTTTCATTTTTCTTTTATTATTCATATGTGCATACAAGGCTTGGTTCATTTCTCCCCCCTGCCCCCACCTCCTCCCTTACCACCCACTCCGCCCCCTCCCGCTCCCCCCCTCAATACCCAGCAGAAACTATTTTGCCCTTATTTCTAATTTTGTTGTAGAGAGAGTATAAGCAATAATAGGAAGGAACAAGGGTTTTTGCTGGTTGAGATAAGGATAGCTATACAGGGAGTTGACTCACATTGATTTCCTGTGCGTGGGTGTTACCTTCTAGGTTAATTCTTCTTGATCTAACCTTTTCTCTAGTTCCTGGTCCCCTTTTCCTATTGGCCTCAGTTGCTATTCTTAATGGACTTGAGTTTGAAAGATATTTTGGCCACTGGACCATCGTTCAGCCTCCTTGCAATGGCACATCTTAACTGTCAGACATGGAACTCAGAGGGCAGCTCAGCACTGCTCTGAGCTCCAGGAGGCCCCAAGGGCTCCAAGATGAGGAAGAAGAATTCCCAGACCTCAGGTTGGCTCCTCGGTACAGTGACCTTCCACAGAGGCGCCCTGAGATGATAATGGTGGGGACTGAGTGTCTGGGGTCACCACAGGCAGCACAGGGTCCGTGCAGCCTTGGACACTGTCATTGATGTGGGCATGCCCCTGCTGCCCTCCTGGCTCATCTCATATGGGATTTCAAGAGTGGAAAGGTCGCTTCCCGTGTCAGAACCTCCTGAAGTCACAAAGAAATGCAAGTCTGCATCAATCATGGCGGTGGCTGCACCCTCCCCCGTCCTCCACTCCCTCACGTTCCAAATAGCCAGACATCAGCTTTGTTCTGGTGAGGATGGTGGTGACCTAGGTGGGCCTGTCTGCTGAGTGCTGTGCTTGCTGGTGACTTGGCTCAGCCTCTTCCCGGGCACAACTCTTATTTCTCTCTGAATCAACCAGAGGAGAGGAAACTGACTGCCATATCTACATAAGCAGAGACCAAGCACAGACCAGGTGCGGGCACCCCCGGGGACACTCCCTTTCTATGTCAGTGATCCTCACCGGCAAATGATGCCCCCCGCTCTCCATGACCTCTAGCTTTGGCAATGTCAGGACCCAGCAACTGGCAAGCAGAGCCCTGTCCCAGCAGACAGAGGAGAGCCCACCCACAGGCCCCCGGGGAGCACGTCCTGCCCTGCCCCTGTTGTCGCCCTAACTGCGTCTCCTTCACCAAGGGCTCCTTCAGTCTCCCAGCATGGTGTGCCCTTTGCATCTTGCTCCAGGGAGGGTAAGTCAGCATCCCCATGTTTACTCAATATTCTTCCAGGTCCACCCTCCCTGGTCCCCGTTTCTTCCTATTTGTCAGCACTTTTGTCTTAGCATAGAAACACATCTCTCAGGTCTTTCACCTCCAAATCAACAGCTACAAAGAAAACAAAAGAAAGCACATGTGTGCACATACACTCACTTATACATACCCCTGCACACGTCACTGCACACACTAACCTGCACACAACACATATACATACTTGCACATGTCACCACACACACAAGTATGATATACTTGCACACACATCACGCATCTGCACACATCACCATCACCATGCACACACACTCACTTGCAAACACCCTCACGCATTTTGTCTGAGGCCACTTGGAGCCCAGCTATTGCTCCGTTTACTTTCCTTGTTCCTTGTTCCTCTGGACTCCCTTGAAACTTCCAGCTGAGTTCGAGTCCTGCCTCCTTGAACCCTTACCCCCACAGCCCCACAGCCCCAGACATGCACGTTAAATTAGCTTTTCCTTAGACTCCAGGGAGGGATATCATGTACCTCACTGGTGGATATCCCAGTTCACTGGCATTGAAATGACTGTGTGTCCTCTGCCACTACTGAGCTCAGCACAATGGTGCAGTTACGACACTGACTCACCACCTTCAAGGCATAAGCAATGCCATAGCTCCCAGGTACTTGAGAGGACTCACGGAGGCCAGGCTGTTAAACACCTGGCACAGCTCCTCCCCGTTCCTGGTGGCCATGCTGCCATGATCCCTGTCCCAAGTCTCCCAGGTAAAAAGTAAGAAAACACCAACCATCTGTAGAGATGAAAATAACCAGCTCTGGCGAGTCCAAATCTTGATGAAAACACATTTTCTGCCCAAGTACCGTGCCTGGGCATTGCGGATTCTGAGTGGAACAAGGAGAACACGGTGTGATCACGGAGGACAGCAATGTGAATGAACTGTGCACTGTGCTCCCGGAGGGGCTGGCACTTCTGCTTATTAGTGTCAGACATGAACAACTCACTTTGCAGATGAATACAGGGTTCTGGGGTGCACGGCCCCTGGCCAGGGCCCACAGAACCAGGATTCCAACTCATTGCCATTGGGAGTGAGGCCTTGGAGTTCTTTCCACATCATGCATTGTATTAGCTCATCGGAGGAGGAAGAGGATTAAGAGGAGAGCAAAATGACGACAGCTGCTAGAGTGTCTTCTGAGAAAGGACACACCAGAGGAGCATGTCCTATAGTAAGTCCAGATAACAGACAGAAAATCTACCCTAACCCAGCAGCATTGGCGAGGGATAAGAGCAAAGTCTTAGAGGAGACAGTTCTGCCTCCTCTGCAAGCATGCTACCCATGTGCAAAGCAGGAGTGAATAGAGGCTTCCTCACTTTTCAGAATCGATGGCTTTCAGGACACCAGCTCACTGCACAGTGCCTGGGCTTTCATTGCCCTTGGGACACCCACACTTTTTGTTTCTGTTTCACTCCAGGGATGCATTTTAACGGATCACAAGACCCAGTCACCATTTAATGTCAATAAGCAAAGCAAACCCCCAGTCTCACAACTAGTACAAAGTACTCCCCTCAATGCACCTGAGTTCAGGCAGCGTGGGCACAGAGTGGGATTTCAATCCACACACAGCCCCAAGAACCGCACAACACCCTCATATGATCCAAGCGTGGAATGACACCCAGGGTAGCTATAGGCTGAATGTCAGTGCTGTTGGCTTTCATGGATGCATTTCAAAATTAGTGGCTTTGCAAGGCAACTCCCTGTGTAGCTGTCTTAAACAAACAGGAATGTCTTTTTTATTCAAAAATGGAGAACAGGAAGGTAAAACAAGTCTTGTCTGGCGGTTGGTACCAGTGGGAGGGAGGAGGACATAAGGAAAAGGTGTAGGAGGATAAATGTCAAAACATTATGTACTCATGCATAAAAATGGGACAAAGAGACCTGTTGAAACTGTTCCAGGTATGGAGGAAGGGGGCATAAAGGAGAATGATGGAGATCAACTATGATATATTGTAAGAACTCCTGTAAATGTCACAATGTCTCCCAGTACAACAGTAATAAAAAAATAAACAGAATTAGTGAGTGTTTTAAGTCATCTTAACACAAAGAAGGTACTTAAAGCACAGACCCTCAGTCCAACGCACTGGACCCCAGGGGTCAGTATCCTTTCCACATAACTGGCTAGAAAGTTCTTTACCCAACAGAATGCAAGTTGGTGTTAGGAGCAGGTGACCACCTTCCAGAATGGTGGTGAATCCAAGACTGGATTGGTTTCCAGTTTTCTTGCAGAAGTATAAACATTAGGATTGCAGCCATGACATCCAGCATGCAGAAGGAGAGGGCTTTCTGCTCAGCAAAGAACCGAAGCGTGGTCTTATTAGGCTGACAACTACAGGAAGTAGAAGTAATCAATGCAACAGCTGGTGTGAAAGAGCGGGAAGTACATCCCACAAATTCAATTTCGAGGCATTCAAGGTAAATTAGTCACATAGTAAATACATGTAATCAAAAATAATTATAGTGTAGAAGTTTAAAAGCTCAGACAACAAAAACTGGGTTCCTTTTGAACAAAAAGGAATCCTGTGCTCGCCTGGGACAGATGGACAGACAAATTGCTGTATTTTTATGTTTGTGTAAGATAAAGAGGAAATTTATGTGCTTCGAAATAAGAACACATAGCCAAACAAAGGCAAAAAGAGAGTTCTCACTCCTGCTGGCATCACTCAGCGCCCAGTGGTGGAAGGGCTGCTGGGCAGGGAGGATGGCCCTGCAGGGGTTTGCCTGGTCTCCCTGGTCCATCCTTGCCCCTGTCCTCCTCACACCAGCAAGGCTGAACACTGGCCGTGACCATTCCACAGGCCCCAAGAAAGAAGAGCCATTCAGAGATCTCTAGAACTTTCCATGGGTGTGGTCACTGGACACAAGAAGGGTCAACTACTGTAGGTGGAAGAGGAGAGGGTCAGTCTAATCCCACCCCAGTGCCTGACCCCAGGGCAGCTCCCACTCTGGACCTGTACATGAGGGACCTAGTCCCCACGCTCCCTGGCTGGGCGTGGAGCCAGCAAACTGAAAGAGCCGAGGAAGCTAGGAAGGCCATGAGCTGAACAGCTGGCCTTACCCTGAAGCCTCAGACCGGCTACTTCCCATTCATCCTTGGTACTTGCTGCGGCAGGACCTGAGTCTGTGAACGGCTCCCCCCACCCCACACCCAGTGCAAATCTGAGAGTGACTCCTCGAGGGCTGTCCCCTGGACACAGAAGGTTGACGGTGGATGCTCTTCCAGGCACACCCTGCAGCTTCCCATGGAGCTGGCGTGTGGCTCAGCCACACCACCAGGCAAACCAAAGTGCTTTCATCAGTCAGGCCACTGCCTCCCTGAATTGGCCACTTCAGACTGAACAGACGAATGAGCTGCAGATGTGAGCCTACAGGCTGTATTTTGATTATTACACAGAAGAATGCAGTCATGTTCGTTAAAACATTGATCACTCACAAACGACATACTTCTTTTCTTATTTTTAAATGGGAAAGGAAAAGGCTTCTCTTGGTCTCTGTCAAATATTTAAATTTGTACTTGAGCACAGTTATCTTTCAGGTCCATGTTCTGGGGCAGTCTGGAGTCTTCTCTCACTCGGTGACTTGCAGGCTCACTTGTCCTGGGTTCTGCCTTCACCCACTGGCCATCCCTTCCCACCTCCCAGCACCTGACTTCCATCGTCCATGGTCTCTTCCTATCAGGCCACCTCCTCCGCTCCCCCATTTCCATCCATCTTTCCTTTCTTAGTGGCATCCCACAAAGTGTCACGCACTGCTTGCACATCCTTGGAGACTGAACCCCAGGGAGTTTACTTGTAGGTTAACTTCTGAGTCATCATCACCTCAAGGCCAAGACGGGGCCACATGTCTCCAGTGTGACAGGCCTGGAAGACAGAGCCTTTCGGGCCAAATCTACCTTTAGAACTTCAGGATATTTCAGTTCTTTCCAAATAGATGTCCGGGAGGAAGTTAAACACCTTAGTTTATAGCATCAAGGTCCTTAGAAGAATGCGCCATGGCCACAGCAGCAACCAGTCTCACATTCCTGCTACTAGCACAGACCCATCACTGACTGCATAGGTCAGCATGCAGCCCCTGCAACAGCCTCGAAACCACGCGTCATCTGTGAGGGCCAAAGAGACAACAAAGGCTCAGAATGTCAAGTGCCAATGCCAATTGCCAGTTAGCACAATGAGAGGTAAATACAATCCTAGAAGAGCCCGTGATATAAGGGGATACTCCGCAGTAAAATATACTGGCTAGGAATATATACAAACATACATCAGCCAAGAAACCTTGGGCTCAGAGCCATTTCTGTGCAAAGCAATCTGGCAACTACTGCTCAGCCTTGTAAAATGCAGTCACCTTGCCCTAGAGTCAGACTTGTACCATATCAAGGTCATTCGGCCTCTCACTTGATTCTTAGCCAATATACAGTCAATAAATATTCTTAACCAGCATTATGGGTCAGCATCATGGTTTCAGAACTTGTGTGTTGAGAGCACATACTCTGGTTAAAGCAGATCTCTCCTCCCTGGTCTCTGACTGTCCACAGAAGTTGGCTCTGCTTTGAAACACGTCAACGGAGTATGACTACTAAACACTGATTTTAACACTGGCCACAAACAACCAGCGATTTTCCAGACACTGACTTGGTAGATGGCAGGCCAGCCAAGCCCAAGCACACCCAAATATACAGCTAACAATAAAGCAAGAGGCTGAGTAACCCTGACATGGTGCAAATCTGACTCCAGGATGAGGTGAATGCATTTTACAGTCTATCAGTAGTTGTCAGGCTGTCTTGCACAGACACAGCTCTGAGCTTAAGGTTTCTATGAAGCCAGAGGGAGCAGCAGTCCTGGGCAACCCAGGAGCTTGGCACTGGGCACAGTGAGGTGGTGGTCATGGTACTCCACTCGGAGCTGCTTTTAGCATTATCTGCCTTCTATCTATAGCATCCCAGAGCGCCTCACTGGACCCCAGCCAAATGCCAGGAAGCCAGAGAGCAGAGCCATGGAGACCCACCTGCTAGCAGCAGGTACCCTCCTTGACCAGGAAGCTGCTGCTGGAGTGTGGTAGGTCACAGCTCAACTGCCTGCAGGTGACAGGCTATGTACTAAATGTGTTTCCCAGTGACCTGCATGTTGTCCTGTTCCCAGACTCTTGTCTATCCCATCCTCTCCAGGGTCACCTTTATGAACTAGTAAACACCTTTCCTGCCTCTAAGGCACAGGCTCTGCACAGTTTTCTATCGGTGCTCGATGCCTTCTGACAAAGCTAGGAGCTGTCAAATAGGACCTGCTTTAACTCTAGTTAATAACCCAATAATAAAACAAAAAGAGCTCTGCTGATTGAGCAGAGCCAGGCATGAAGACATAGTCTTAACCAATTGCATCTCACTGGTTGTATGTCTCACTCTCTGTTGTTCACGTGGAACAACCCAAGGTTATAGGGTTAGGTCTCCGGTCTCAAATGCTGCAGGGAAACTGATCCATGGAGCCATGATCAAACCTTGATCTTGATCACTACAGAGACTACTAGACCCATATGCATACAGAGTTGTGTTTCTTCAAACTCCAAGGCAATGATGGTAGACCTGTAAGTCTCTGTACAACTGGACACCAAACATGTAACGACATGCTATCGACTGTGCAGGGCTGGCGGGGTGCTTGTCTCCACAGGACACTGTGCAGAGGCTGCACATC